CTTTTAATTTGATTTTTATTTAAGTTTAAAATCATTTTATTGGGGGCTCATACAACTCTTATCACAATCCATCCATCTATCTATTGTGTCAAGCACATTTGTACATTTGTTTCCCTCATAATTCTCAAAACATTTGTTTTCTACTTGAGCCCTTGGTATTAGCTCCTCATTTTTCCCCTCTCTCCCCACACTCCCTCTCTCATGAGCCCTTGATGATTGATAAATTATTATTATTTTGTCATATCTTACACTGTCTGACATCTCCCTTCACCCACTTTTCTGTTGCCTGTCCCCTAGGAAGGAGGTTATATGTAGATCCTTGCAATCAGTTCCCCCTTTCTACCCCACTCTCCCCCCACCCTCCCAGTATCACCACTCTCACCACTGGTCCTGAAGGGATCATCTCTCCTGGATTCCCTGTGTTTCCAGTTCATATCTGTACCAGCGTACATCCTCCAGTCCAGCTGGATTTGTAAGGTAGAATTGGGATCATGATAGTTGGGGTGGGAGGAAGCATTTAAGAACTAGAGGAAAGTCATATGTTTCATTGTTGCTACACTGCACCCTGACTGGCTCATCTCCTCCCCGCGGCCCTTCTGTAAGGGGATGTCTAGTTGCCTACAGATGAGCTTTGGGTTCTCAATCTGCAATCCCCCTCATTCACAATGATATGATTTTTTGTTGTTTGATGCTAGAGAACCCTGTCTAACACAATGCCTAATACCTGATCCATTTGACACCTCGTGATCACACAGACTGGTGTGCTTCTTCCATCTGGACTTTGTTGCTTCTGAACTAGATAGCCGCTTGTTTACTTTAGAACTTTTAAGACCCCAGATGCTATATCTTTTGATAGCCGGGCACCATTAGCTTTCTTCACCATATTTGCTTATGCACCCATTTGTATTCAGTGATTGTATCGGGAAGGTGATAGGCACACTGTTCAAAACCCATTGCCTTTGAGTTGATTTTCGCCCCCAGCAGCACCATGGGCCAGAGTAGAATTGCCTCATAGGAATTCCTCAGTTATAATCTGTACAGAAGCATACTGCTTTTATCTTCTTCCTTTGGAATAGCTGGTGGTTTGATCACCAATATTTTAGTGAACATCTGAAAGTTTAACCATTGTGCATCTTTGCAAGGCCCCACTTTTCAGCCTCTCATTAAGTTCTAACTCCCCTTTTAAGTGATTCCCCCAGAGACCAGGAGTTTTATCTCTTTGTGGGAAATAGGCGATAAAAAGTATATTCGTTTTCTGTGTTATGTGTGAGATCACTAAAGGCTTATGACAACTCCCATTTATTGGCATTTTGTTTAGTGTGGGACTGAGTTTTCTGCTCAGTGTCTTGCAAAGTGACAATTAAGGTGCAGGCTGGGGCCCCTTTCAAGCCCAAGAGGTTGTGGCATAATGTCATTCTTTGCAGCTATAGAACTTTAGGTCCCCATTTTCTTATTTTGACTGGCAGCCTCCTGCAGCTTTACAGGCCCCCCACAATCCTTGCCATCTGGTCCCCTTCATCTTGAAAGCTAGCAGTGGAGAATCTCTTGTGCATAAAATTCTCAAATGCTGAATCTGTGACCTCTTCCACTTGTGACCTATAGACCTTTCACTTTTAGGGCTCCTGTGATTAGTTGGGTCAGGCCCACCAGGGTAAGTTCTCTGTAATAAGAGGAACTGACGTGGGACCTTAATTATATTGACAAAATTTCATCATAGTAGCACTTAAATTAGTGCTTGATTAAATAACTGGGAGAAGATGTGTTATATCAACGGCCAGGATTTTTGGGGGGTCATCTTAAAATTCTGCCTACCTTAGTAACATACGAAGTGGGTAAGAAGTTTGACTTCTTAAGTTAAAATTTTAAAATTCGGAATGAGGGTGGTTGTGACTGGGGAGACAAGAAGGAAAACACCACAAGTAGTATGGTGCTTAGTGCCTTGTCTGGTGGTGAATTTTAGAAAAGCATTTGTATGGAAGTTGGGGATTGGTCCTCTTTTATTTTAATTCTCCATGTCCACATAAGCCTTGGTGTATCTAGAGGGACACATGCGTTACATTTTCAAAACTTGCATGTTTAGACCCAGAGCCACCATGATGCTTGACAAATAGCTGTGTCAGCGCAGTTAATGGAATGGGCAGTGGAGAGAGTGGTAACTGCGACAACAAACAGACCGCATGTCATTTGCCACTTTCTTCTCCTATCCCCAGACCGGGTATTTTTGTCTGGCAGAATATTCTATCTCCTTTCTGTGGAATAAAGGAATCTGAAGCCACAGCTTGCTGTTATCCTTACAGCTACAGCTGTTGCCTAGGAACCAGATTCCCTCCCCTCACTGCTTGCTGCCAAGGAGAGGGGAGAAAGGTAGAAAGGAGCATACATCAGAACCTCTTATAAAATATTCTCCTTCCCACACCACACAGGACTTCTTGCTTTGGCAAGCTGGGAACACTGCCTAAGTCAGGTAGTTCAGGTTTTGTAAACAGAGGGACGCTGATCCCCTTGCCTGAGGTGGAGGAAGAATCTTTATGGGGACCTCTCCTGGATAGAACAGTGACAATCCCCTCTTCTCGTTTTTGTCTGTTTTAGGACAAACTGAGGATGTGCAGATGCTCCTGCATTTGGGGGCAGACCCCACCCTGCTGGATCGACAGTCCCGTTCTGCCCTGGATGTCCTGAAGAAGAATAAGAACTTCAAAGCTATTGAGAAAGTTAACAGTCATTTGGAAAAGTTGGCTGCATGTTCTAAGGACTTAACAGGTATGGCTTCCAGTGGATTAACTTTTGGGGGGGTTACAATTGGTCCTGTGGTACGAGATACAAATCAGTTTACTTTTCTTCATACACATAGATGAAAATGAGGCCATCAGTCTTTGGAAAGTTTGTTTTGTTTTATTTAAAGAATAAGAAAATTCTTATTTACACTATAATGGGCACTTTGCCAGGCCCAGCTTTGGACAGTGTGTTAGGCTTGGGTTGTCTAGAGAAACAAAACCAATGACAATGCATGTATAAGGAAGAACTTTATATACAGAAGTAATTTCATATTAAGGTGTCCCAACCCAGTCCAACTCAAGTCCATGGGTCTGATGCTAACCAGCGCCCTCTTCAGACTCATGTAGTTGCAGGTCAGTGACCCTGAAACGTGAAGCAGGGAGATCACAGGATGGTGGGTGCAGAGTCTTGTGGATCCAAGCTTTGTGGGAACACTACCCGGTGCAGGCAGCTTGGAAATTGGCTCCGGGGTTAATGGCCACATGGGGCTGCTCCTGGAGGCAGACACAGAGTCCCAGCAAGCAGAAAGGTGAAGGGACAAAAGAGAAATCATCTCTGTTTGATCTCTTGCTTACATAAAAGGCCACACCCCTCAAGGAGGTCCTCAGGCTACCACTTGTTGGACAGGTTGTATTCCACCTTTAGCTACGAGTGTCTAGTGGACATATCCGTAACCATCACAGACAGTATGACTGATTCTGGTTTTTCCCAAGTATCCACAGGGTAAAAATGAAAAAATTCAGATAGAACAGGAGATTACAACCACTCACAAGGTCTAAAATATAGTTACATGAGGGTAAGTCAGAAAGTATTTTTGCTAGGGTTTATTTCTACATGCATGAGCTTATTCCAAACAAAAGGTGTGTCAATTTGTCTCTGATCAGTGGATTGCTTCAGACATGTTCTCTCAGTCACATGCTTGTCTTAGTCTCATTAGGGTGCTTTCAAAACAGAACAAAAAGGTCATTCAAAACTGGCTTCCCAAGGGGTCAACTGGTCCTGGCAACTGCTTTTGTTTTTTTAATCTTGTTACTAAGGGAAATCTTGATCTATTTTTTAGAAGGACACAGGATGATCATGAGGGCTTATTAGGAAGAAGTTTCAAGCAAATTGAAAACCACATTGATCAAAAAAAGGCCAAGAAAGTTATATTGAGGGATTTTTTTTCTATCATGACAGTGTACCTGCTTGTTCTTCAATAGTAGCAAGGGATGTTCTACAAGAATTTTGTGGGGAACTTTACCCCATCCACCCTACAGCCCTGATCCTGTCTGTGTATATTTCTTTTTCCAACAGTTTTATTGGCACATAATTTGCATATCATACAATTCAATAGTTCAGTCATACCCAGGAGGATTGTACAATCATATCTACATCAATTTTAGAGCATCCCCCTATTTAGATTTATTTTTGGTCCCCAAATTTAAAGCCCATCTCAGGGACACGGTTGGAGTTCCTCAACACTGTCATGTTGATGTGGTGTCAATCGAAGAGCGCAGGACTCTTTGGGAAAGGTAGAGAGCTGAGCTGAGAACACTGTCTTCACAAGTGTGTCGATCTAGTTAGAGAGGATATGTCAAACAATAGTTTCACTTTTTGATATTTTTCTTTAACAAAGGTTCTATGATTTTGTGGCAGTTTTTTGACTTATCCTTGTGTCTATATTTCTTGATTTGTTGAGACAGCATTTCTGCCGTATAAAATCAAAGGTCTCAGCCCCATGTGTTGAATGTTATCTAGTTATCTTCTTTGTATATTTTCTAAACTCCTTTTCTAGGCTTCACCTATAGATTGCTTCTGAAAAAGTAAAAACTGGTCAATGACATTCTCTTTCTTTCTAGAACTAGTAAGTAGGATGGCTGGATTGTAGCATAGGAAATGCTACCAAGTGTTATGAAGACGCTTTGCTTTAAATATGATACTCTTCACACATTTCAGTTTAATGAAACCCCTTTCTTTTTCCTTGTATGCTTTTAATTCTCATATAAACATTTAGTTCCTGTGGCTCATGTTGCCCTCTCAGATTTTCTTTCTTGCTTTGCTGAGGTACCCACTGAAGTTTGGTTTTCTCACATATTTTTATTCTCTTCAGAGTGGCATGGGTAGTAGAATTTCATACCTGAAAATGAGCTTCAACTGATAACTTGGCTGAACACAGACATCGTATTTTTCTAAAATTATTTTATTGGGGGCTCGTACAGTTCTTATCACCATCCATCCACACATTGTGTCAAGCACATTTGTACATTTGTTGCCATCGTCATTCTCAAGACATTTGCTTTCTACTTGAGCCCTTAGTATCAGCACCTCATTTCCCCCCTTTCTTCCAACTCCCCCCATGAACCCTTCATAATTCATAAATTATTATTATTTTGTCATATCTTACACTGTCCGACGTGTCCCCTCGCCCACTTCTCTGTTGTCTATCCCCCAGGGAGGAGGTTATATGTAGATTCTTGTAATCGGTTCTCCCTTCCCCCCCACATTCCTTCCACCCTCCAGGCATCGCCACTCTCACCACTGGTCCTGAAGGGGTCATCTGTCCTGGATTCTGTGTGTTTCCAGTTGCTATCTGTACCAATGTACATCCTCAGTCTAGCCAGATTTGTAAGGTAGAATTGGGATCATGATAGTGGGGGGGAGGAAGCACTTAAGAACTTAAGAGGAAAGTATATGTTTCATTGTTGCTACCCTGCACCCTTATTGATTAAAGTTGAACTCTTTAGGGAACATTTTCTTTGAAATGGTCTTAGCCACGTTATCTTTGAAATTGGCAAGCCACAGTTTAATTGGTAGCCTTTCTGACATGTCCTGCAATCGGTGGCATCTTAGATTTAGGAAATACACTGTAAAACCTTTTCTCTGTCCACAGAATTTCACCATTGTTTTCTGGACCCATTTGCAACTAATTAGAAGTCTGATGCGAGTCTCTTTCTTTTGGGGTTTTCTCTCTCTGTGGATTTCTGAAATTGTATTGGAATGTTCCTAAGTACTTCTTGCTTGGTACTGATTGACCCTGATCCCTCTGTCTTTCTTAGCTTGGGGAAATAATGTTCTCTTCTTTTATTCCCCTCCAATGTCTCTTTTCTCATTCTGCTATTCCTCTTAAACAGATGAATGTCCTGAATTCACAAGCAATCACGTCTCTCTACTTTTCCCTAATAGTGTCCATTGTCATTTTTTCCCCAGGATCTTAAGCTTCATCTTTAGCTTTTCTATCTATTCATCGGTCTAAGCATTGCATTTTTAAAAAATTTGGTAAATTGTAGTTTTAATATTTAAGTATGTTATTCTGTTCTTTTTTTCTTACATGTAACAGCTTGTTCTTTTTTGTTTGCTTTTTGGCCAAGATCTCTTGAATCACACTTGATAATATTGGTAATATTAAAGAGTTTTGTTTTTATAAAGAACATCCTCTTCAATTCCCTGGATTATTTATGCTTTGTTTGGGGTTAGTGGATTGGTTTTCTTGCTTGCTTCTCTTTTGTCCCTAGTGATCTGCTAGGATTCCCTGGGTAATGAAAATGGCTAGCCGGGTCAGCTGCAGATTAAAAAGTTGGAGGTTTGAGCCCATCCTGAAGTGCCTCCGAAGAAAGGCCTGGTGATCAACTTCAGAAAATCCAAACCCGCTGTGGACACAGTGCTACCCGGACACCTACGAGGTCACCATGAGTTGGAACAGACTCCGTGACAGCTCGTTGGGTTTGGTTTAATTACCTGCTGGTCATTAGAGAATTGAGACACTATGAATGAGGACTATAGTGAGTTACACTTACTTGTGTGTATTTTCCTGCAGCTATTTAGTTGTTTTTCTTTGGAAACACTCCTCCCCTTGGATGTGTAAGTGGCTAATAAGTTGATGGCAACCAGTAGGGACTGTTTCAGGATGGGGATAACAGGTAGTCTGGCAGGATGGGGATCCCAGCAATGGACAGAACAAGGACAGTTCTACATGGGGAAATTGAAGCTGCTTTTCATTTGTCTTCTTACCCACTTTGCCATTTATTTATTTGTTATTTTAACTATCTCCTGTAATTTCTTTGAGACCATGGGATATGTTACAAATCCCCCTCTTTTCCATGGTTGCTCCTTTGAAGCCAACATACTCATGCTTGGTTTTGAAATGGCCTCATGTTTTAAGGAGTTCTGAATAATGCTTTAATAAATCATTGTGAAATGCTTTCTGGGAATTTAGACCTGTAATCCTAGATTTAGGATGATTATCCACTCACTATTTGAGGAAGGGAAACTAATCAAGCATGTTTCTTTGCCCATGAATGTCCAAGTTTAAAAATAATAACAAAAAAAGGACCATTAGCTACTTGTAGGGAATGACTGACTTGTTTGGAAATTTATCTTTTATTAATCCTAACAATAAATTTTAGAATTCAGCGTATTTATATCTCTGTGTTATCTTTAGTGTTTTAATCTCTAGCAGAAACTGTTCATTTTTATTTAGTTTTTTAAGGATCTGTGCTTAATTGCCTTATATAATGAAACAGGAGCCTGGTGGTATAGCGGTTGCATGTTGAGCTGCTAACCGTATGGTCAGCAGTTTGAAACCACTAGCCACTCTCGGGGAGAAAGATGGGGATTTCTACTCCTGTAAAGGGTTACAGTGTCTTAAATCCACAGGGACAGTTCTTACCTGTCTTATGGGGTCGGAATGGACTCGATGGATGGCAGTGAGTATATAATAAAATCTTTTAAGGTCTGCTAAAACTCCTCATCTGAGACAAAGTTCTCACATCTCTTTTCCTTTCTGTATCTCAGGTTCAGAACCAGGCAAAGAGTCTCATTTGAATGAAAAGATAATGGAAATTTCCCATGAACTTTTGGAAAGCACCTCCTAGAGCTGTACTTCTCTGTAAGAGTTGTATGCATACATTTTGATTCTAAGAGTCTGCTAGTTACATAACCTTTAAAACCTAAGGAGGGATTGGAGTGGGTACTGGTGGTCTTTTAGACCAGCAGCACCCATTTCT